TAATCATGCCATTCATATTTTCCTACGTTGAATTACCGTAATTGTGAAAGTAATAGATAACACAGAATTGATCACGGAGAAACCTAACTGTGTAAAAATTTCGGACACTTTACTAGTCAACAATCCACTATAAACGATTGGTAACTTACAGTCTACCAGTTAGACGACGACACGTAATATTTGATATCCTGACTATAATCCTAACAGCTATCCTAGATTCTATGCTCTTGCACCAATTCCTACCTACAGTTTTCAAAACTCTTCTGGATTGTGCTCTCATGCAGCAACTTCTAGTTTTGTGAAATTGCCTATCTCCTGTGGATGCACGAAGAAGACCACGTTCTTCAACGACTGTAACTCCAGACACCTTCCCGTGATCTTCAGAAACTCTGACAGATATGAAGGAAATAGTAGTTTAGTATTTGAATTGTGAATATGATTTTTTTCTTACTGCCAAGAACATATTACTATGTGAATAATGAAGGTTGAAGAGTAATTGATGAAAAGAACATGAAAGGCTAAGTGTTTGTTTAATGATCAACTTTAGAAAAAACGTTATGTGGTNAAGGTTGAAGAGTAATTGATGAAAAGAATATGAAAAGCTAAGTGTTTGCTTAATGATCAACCTTGGAAAAAACATTATGTGGCAGTCAAGCGACATGTTGTTGCTCGAGCAAAGGCGAGGCTACAGGTGGGCGACATAGTTTATGTTTTTGACATTTGAGCTAACACAACTTTCTACTATTTGTATATTACTCCCTGACTTTTACAATATATCAATTTAAGTCCCTTTTATTCACAGATTTGCCAATTACATTAAATACCTAACAATTGGAGTTAATATATTCAATTGTCTTCGACCAACTTTCGCGTTATTTTTTTCTGGTGCGTGTTGTTATGTGTATTTATTAGATGATGCAAACAAGTTCTTATGGCTTTTTTCACTTAAAGTTAAATCTGATACACATCAAGTTTTTAACCAATTTTAGGCTGTCATAAAACTTCAATTCAACATAAAAATTAAAGCTCTCCAATCTGATTGGGATGTTAAAAGCCAAAGCTTAAAATACTACTTGGTAACTCGAAGAATTAATCATCATCTGAAAAGTCCTTATACACATCAAGAAGCGGAAACCGTTGAACGGCATCATGACAAATTGCAGAAGTAGGTCTCGCTTGCTCATTCAAATTTACCTAAATATTTGGGTAGATGCCTTTTTACCTGTTGTTTACATAATAAATCATTTGTCAAGTACTATTTTACCAAATTAAATGGTTAATCTTATAACCTTTTACATATTTTTAGATGTTGTTGTTGGCCCTATATACGTCCAT